TGGGTCTATGATTCATGTATCCCATTTAATGCTTGCAATTCACCTTACTTTCAAATTGCTATTGATAAAATAGCTAATATGGGTCTTGGTTATAAAGATCTTTCTTATCATGTTTTGCGAGTAAACTTACTGAGTCATGCTAAGAAGCATGTTAAGTTTATCACGGATTCTATGAGAAGAACTTGGGAGAACGCATGTTGCACCATAATGGCATTATCAAATGGAATTTCATTTATCAAATCCATTGATGCTTCTGATATTTGCTCAACTGCAGAAGAATTATGTAATTGTTTAGTGAGATTGTGAAATGGGTTGGTCCTCGTAATGTTGTACACATCGTAACAGGCAATGGAGCCAATTATGAAGCTGCGGGTGGTAAGCTTGTGGATAAATATCCTTCAATTTTTTGCTCACTGTGTGCAGCTCACTGTGTGAATTTGATATTTAAAGATGTTGGAGATTTGAACACCGTACCGTCCAAAAGTTAGATGTTCTTGCTTCAAAGGTGACTGTTTTTGTCTACAGTCACAAGGTGACTTTGAATTGACTAAGAAGGAGAGAGGGATGGCGACAAATTATCCGTCATAGTGCAGCCCGTTTTGCTACTATCTTTATTGTTTTACAAAGCTTACATGAGCATAAATATAATTTGCAAGCTTTGTAACTAGCACTGAGTTTAAGATTTTTTTTAAAGTGCAAAGATCTAAAAAAGTAAAACAAATTATATTGGATGAGAATTTTTGGGACAATTGTTCGATGATCGTGAGGGTTATGACACCGTGGATACTTTTGTTGCGGTTGTGCGCCACTGATGAGAAACCATCATTGTCTTATATATGAGGGCATGCACACGACACGTTTGGGGATTATGAATATTTTTAAACATAAGAAAATGCTCTACCCGCCCTACAGTGATATTATAGACTGTAGATGTGATTGTATATTGCAATGATGTCTTCATGCAACAACATATTATTTCAAACCTGTTTTTCAATACGATCAATCTTCTTAATGGAAAAAATATGAGATTGTGCGTGGAGTGCTAAATGTGTTGGATAAAGGGGAAGGCGATGATAACTGAACAATACCGGATGAGTTAAGAACATCTGGAGAGCGTGAGATGAACTTTGCTCGTCTAAAGGTGGCCTATTGTAAAATCACCGGACCGGGTAAATATTAATTTATGATGCTATTATTTTTTTTTTGAAATTTAGTGATTAACTTTTACAATTATTGCATTTGTGCTTGTTTTAATTTAGGCCGCGGCTATATGCAAGACTAATTCCACTTGTGCAAGACCAAATTAAAATTTTTAATGTATAAATACTATCATACCCTTACTTGTTAAAAAAATAGAAAATTCCAAATGTGCAATACAAAAAACTCAAAAAGAAAAAAAAAAAACCCTATTACAAAACCACAAGACCAACTCTCATTTTCTCCATCAAAACCTTTCTCCTTCCTCATCTATAAACCCACAAAACCTAAACATTCAAAATCATCAAAACTCAACAAATCTTACAAATATGGCAAATACGGAGTCAGAAGACATCAAAATAGAAGAATTTACGGTGGAAAAACCCAAGAAAATATGCATATATGTGTTTTTTTAGCTAGAATATCGTTTTTCCAAAAAAAATCTCGCGCAGACGCAGTCAACATGTACATGTCGAATTTTATAGGCAATAATTGACATTGAGATGTCTATTTTTTTAGTACAAAATCGACACCTTTGTGTCGAAATTTAACTGTTAGCAAAGTAGTCCAAATATACTAAATTTCGACATTAAGGTGTTGATTTTATGGACATATATTCGACACCTTAATTCGAAATTTAGTTGTTTCATATTTAAAAAAAAAATCCCGCGCAGACACAGTCGACATGCACATGTCGAATTTTATAGGTAAAAATCGACATTGAGATGTCGATTTTGGAGTACAAAATCAACACATTAGTGTCGAAATTTAACTGTTAGCAAATTAGTCCAAATATACTAAATTTCGACATTAAGGTGTCGAATTTATGGACATATATTCGACACCTTAATGTCGAAATTTAGTTGTTTCATATTTTTTTATTATTTGTTATTTGGTCTTGCATGAGCAAACAAAAGTCAATTTAATTTATGGGTATATTTGTCATTTCATCTTAATAAAATGGAATCATTTGGAATTTTTCTTTAATTTGGTCTTGCACAAGTGGAAGTAGTATTGCATATAGCTGCAGCCTTTAATTTATTAATATACAAATGTTGATAACTGTAGCAAATGAATGTTGTAGTTTATTTGGTTTTGATGTGGCAGATTTGCAATATAAAGATCCTTGGTCAAACTGCTTCTTTTTCTGGATGCGAGCGTAATTCGAATGTATTTGAATACATTCACACAAATAAATAAAAAAATTTGAGCAAAAATTGAATAATCTTGTCTTTATTCACTAAAATTGCCATTGCAGAATAGGTGAGTTTTCCCATATTTAATAAATAATTATTTTTATATTTTATTCTTCGTATCAACTTTATATCATTGCTTGCCATTAGCTAGGTTGACAAATTCCAAAAGACCCTATCATCCAATTCACTATGAATCCCTTGAAATACCAATTATTGGATTGTCGAAAAGGAAATGAGAGCTTGATTCTGATGAACTTAAAAGTATGTTATTGCCAGAGGAATTTGCAAGAGACGTGGAAAATAAAGTGCACAAAGTTTATTTTTGTGTAATTAAAATTTAATGATAATGATCTAAAGTAGTTTAAAGTTATATTGAATTAGTTATTTCAAAACAATAATAATCATAATTTATTGGTTTGATGCGAATTTTTATCTATGAGCATGATTAAGAGGAATATAGATGGAAATGGAGATGACAATGTAGATTCGAATGATATTGGTGAATGATGGTGATGATTATTATGAGATGATTTTATATTATATTTAAAATTTGTTTTGATAAATGTACGTGAAGTTTTGCGATTTTGTACTTTTTAATTAAATTGACTAATTTCTATGTTTGTAGGACGAGGATAATTTTGTAAGAGTAAGTCCAAGGCTAGTAATCAAAATTGAAGCATCAAATGGCTATTTGGTGCCTGCTACAGTACTTTGATACCTCATTAAAAAAAATTCACTCCAACCATCAAACATCAAACGAATAATCAAATTTAAAAACTAATCTTAAATTCATCCATTGAATGTATACCACTTTTAAATTATATTAAAACATTTAATTTAATGTATATTAAAAATTTATTTAAAATAAAATGGTAACCAAATTTTATAGGCACGTGTCGGCTTATAATTCGATGTCAAGATTTTCGATAATTTTTTTTTATTCACATGTTAGTTTATAATTCGATGTTACCATATCCGATAAGATTTTTTATTGCAACATGTTAGATGTTGATTCGATGTTAAGATATCCGATATGATTTCCTATCTATATCAAACCTTTTAAATATCTCATTTGTTCACATAATTTAGTATCCACAATTTCTATCTTCTTCATCTTTATTTCAATATGTATCGTAATCAAGGTGTTTTAACAACTTTCTTGTCCGACTCTAATTCTGATGATCTCGAGATGCTCGTAAAAGCAACTGAAGAGGAGGAAGCTGAGAGAGAAAGACAACGCACACATCGTCGTGGTTCAGTTCCTGGTAGATGCGTCATTAATCGCGATAGAGGTGAAGGTCATAATAGAATTTATCGTGATTACTTTTCTGATAATCCTGTATATCATGGTGTTTATTTTAGGAGAAGATTTCGCATGCACAGACCTCTATTTTGTAGAATTCTTTCTGATGTTGAAGCATACGATCCATATTTTGTCCAAAAAAAAGATGCAGTAGGAATCCCCGGTTTATCATCTCTTCAAAAGGTAATTGCTGCATATAGAATTCTTGCTTATGGAGTTCCAGCTGATTTTCTGGATGACCACATACGCATAGGTAAAAGCACTTCTATTGAGAGCTTACGTCATTTTTTGAAAGCAATCGTTGCCATTTATGCTGAAAAATATTTAAGAGCACCAAATGAAGATGATTTGTCTCAATTGCTCCAAGTCAACGAGCAACGTGGATTTCCAGGAATGCTTGGAAGTATCGATTGCATGCACTGGGGATGGAAAAACTGTCCATCCGCATGGCAAAGTATGTACTCTGGTCATTATCGTAAACCGACCATTATATTGGAGGCGGTTGCTTCACAAGATCTTTGGATATGTCATGCCTTCTTTGGAATGCCAGGCTCGCTCAATGATATTAATGTTTTAGAAAGATCTCATGTCTTCTCAGCATTGACCAACGGTCGTGCACCTCCGGTCAATTTTATTGTCAATGGAAATAATTATCATATGGGCTATTATCTAGCCGATGGGATTTACCCTTCATGGGCTACTTTTGTTAAGACAATACCAGCTCCAATAAGTTTAAAGGCGAAGCATTTTGCACAAGCCCAAGAAGCCGCGAGAAAAGATGTAGAACGGGCCTTTGGGGTACTACAAGCTCGTTATAATATAGTGCGTGGACCAGCAAGATTCTGGGATGAGGAGACACTAGGTAATATAATGAAAGCATGCATTATAATGCATAACATGGTTATTGAGGATGAACATGGGCCAGGTTCCATTGATTTTGATTTTCCAACTCCAAATGTTATACCTTCACGCGAACAAACAAATGAGTTTAGAGACTTTATTCAAATTCATCACCAAATCCGAGATCGTACTACTCATTCCCAACTTCAGCATGATCTTGTTGAACATTTATGGGATTTACACGATCAAGATTAGTCTAAATTATCAATTGCAAATAATATTAGTCTTCTTTACTTTATTTTTGTTGTATTGCATTGTAACTTATTTTATATCTTTAAATTTGATTTGTACTTGTCATTAAATTTTTCAATCACCCAACAATAAATTTTTTTATTATTGATAAAACAAAAAAGTACAATACCAATTAAATTACAATGAAAAATACTTAAAATCAATTATCCTACTCAATGAAAAATACTTAAAACCAATTTTCTTACCTACAATGCAAAATACATAAATAAACAATTATATTAAACCATTATTTCTCAATATTTCCATTTTTTTCTTGTTCCAATAAGCTCCATGAATTTCTTCCATCCCACTAGTATCTTTCGCCATAATTTCTATCTCTACACGCTCTTGTTCAATACGTTTACGCCCTTCGTCAATTTGTTTATGCTCTTCATCTATTTGTTTGTGCTCTTCGTCGACACGTATTGCATTTTCTTGTATTGTTATGAGCCTTTCGCGTTGATCATATCTTTCGCGTTCTATTACCATCTTTGCTTCCCAACGCTCATCGGTAAGTGACATTCTAGATGAGCTTCCACCTTCCGTTATGCCTTGTTTTTTCTTGAGTTGTGATTCCTTGGACAATTTCTTACCCAAAGGCCGATCTTTATTGGCCGAAAGCTCACTATTGTTATCTTCTGATGATATTTGAGTACCTTCAAGGTTGATAGAAGACGTATTTCTTTGCTTATTCTTTTTAGAAGTATCAAGCCATTTCTTCTCGTGCTTTAGAATATCAAAACAGTGTTCAAATTTGAATGACTTTTTATCATTGTTGGCAAAAATAGTGCTCTTGCTTCTTCCACCTATGACACAAAATATTCAAATGTTAACAATAATATTGATATATATTAAATATATGAAAAGAGAAGGAAATACATGTACCCTCCCATGATCTGTTTGACCAGACTGATTCCTATTGTTAATTTGATTAACATAACTAATGAACTTTGCACAATGGGTGTTAATTTCTCGCCAACGATTTTTTATGCTTTGCTCACTACGTCCTCCTTGACCGCAATTGATTATGAATTCGTCGTAAATCCTCTTCCAAAATCCAGTAGATGTTTGTTCGTTTCCATGAACGGCATCTTTGCTTGTATGTAGCCATGCCGACACAAGAGAAATATCTTCCTCACAAGTAAAATTCGATGATCTTTTTTGTCTACTCGATGCACTAGCACTAACAATATTTTCATGTTGTGTAGTTGGATTCACATCATAGCTTTCATCATACAAGGGTGAGTCTTCATTGAGGAGATTGGTGAAATTTCCATAGTAATCGGAGTTCATCTGCAATAAAAAAAAACAGAAAAAAAATTTAGAAATCATAAAACATAAATAAATACAATTGAACCAAAGCAATTACAAGCCCAACCCTTCCCAAGCCTAATTCTCAAATTATTTTAACTAAACAACCCAAAGCCCAAATTAATTATTAAAATCCCATTTCCCAACCCAACCCAACCCAATTTATATAAACAAATATGCCCCTCTTAACCCTAAAACATACGCCTCTTTCCTCTCTCACTTTTTCTCTCTGGTTCCAGAAGAAGGCAAAAAAAAAAGAAGAAAAAAAAAGAATTCAGTCTCTCTCAAATCATCTCCCTCTATCTAATCTGCCTAATTTATTTCACTCATGGCAAAACTATCCTCTTTACCCCTCCAATTTCTCTTTTTTTCTCAGTATATGCACACTTTTTTTTTTCAAATACCTTGATTCGAAGAACAAAAATGGGGAAAGCATAAATGCAGAAGTGTGATTTGTTGGGATGAAGATGATTCAAAGGTAGGTTCAGATTATATAGATTTTACCTCTTTCTTTCTTCCTGAAAATATGACCGTTGGACCTCTTTTTCCTCCTGAAAATATGACCGTTGGAGGTGGTTGGGTGGTGTTTAAATTTTGTTATTTAAAGTGGAGGGGGTGTATTTTTACACCCCAACACCTGAATATTCAAAAAAATGTCTAGGTATAATTACTGCGTTGGAGAAGATAAATTCATACTCAAAGCATCAAATTGGCAGTTATGCCATTTAATGTTTCATTTGGTGCCTGCGTTGGACTTGCTCTAAGATACATTATTATTATTATGGACGAATTTCGGATTAAATTAGAGTTTTTTATATGTGGTTTAATGATAAATGTTTGTTTTGACTTTTGATGTATTTATATGCATAATATAAAATTAAAAAAATAAAAATTTAGAAAAGCCGGGTCAAGTTACTCGGGTGAATGGATCCGACCGTGAGCCGATACACAGCTAATTCTGCAATTTGCAATTTGCAATTCTTCACCGGATTTGGTAAAATAATCCTGGGGATCATCTCTCGGCGGCGGCGGCGGCGGCGACGGCGTTTCTAATTGGTTCTGAATACTGCAACTGAGTCTGCTTTCTTCTCCCGCAGCTGAGTCGGTTTCTTATGCACTTAAATTTATTCGCAAAGCCAAATGCCGTTGGGTAAATACGTCTGCGATTACTGCGACAAACAATTCCAGGACACCCCCGGAGCACGGCGGCGCCACCTTCAAGGCGTCGCCCACCAGAGAGCCAAAGCCCTCTGGTACGACTCCTTCCGCTCCTCCACCCAACGTATGTCTCTCAAAGAAATTTCATTCGGGCACAAGCACAAACACATTACGAGCATGCATTTATATATTTTCTTTTTAATTTGTTTTTTCTTTTCCTCTTCATCATTTTAGCAGGTTTGAATCAGGTTCAAGATCCCCTGTCTATCGGCAAAGGAGTCTGCAATCGGTTTGTCCGTACGGTATGCATATGCATTTTGTGTGTGTGTGTAGTGTGTGTTTGTGTGTTTGTGCACCTAGGCTCCATTGTTTTTTGGATATTGTAGTTTAAAATTTTCTTCTTTATAAAACTGGCTGTCGAACATACTTGTTTCTTGAGGTGATCGGAATTGAATTCTCTCGTTAATTTACAATGTTTTCTGACTTGGGGAAAAATGCTATTCAAATTATCCGAAATACTCGTAAAAAAATGAATGCAGAGAATTATCGGCGGAGGGGAACCTCTACTCCATCCGCCCCGAGATTAATCCTACCAGCTTATTGATTTTTGATTGTTCATGGAAGTTAGATTTGCCCGTTTTTAGATATCTATACATTGGAATGCCGATAATTTTTTGAAACTTATTATCAAGAATATTTCTACACAGCCGGAATACTTTCGGAAATTTATCTAGTTTTTTTTGGGATGGAAAACAACTAGTTCAATTTAGAAAATTTGATCAGTCGTTTCACACAGAAAAATAACGGATCTAAACTTTCTGTACGTGATGGTGCTTGTTGGTATTAATGAAAATAACTTATTCTTTTTTACACGAGGTGGTTATTCAATAAATATTCTGAAGGTTTTGTGAATTAGTTTTCTCACTGTCGAATCTGATTACTAACTAATTTGTTTAACGGAAAGGGATCGTGCCAGTATGGAGATTCTTGCAAGTATCATCATCCCAATAAGAATTTGCCAAACATGACGAGTTCTCAAGGGACGGAAGGTAGTGAATGCATTGCGTTATTTCCATGCGGCTTTTATATATTTTCTCGACATGGTAGCCAATGTTTGTATTTAATAATTTGCAGGAACAAGTTTTGTCAATAATATCCAGTCTCAGAGGGAAGCTTCTCTGCCTGGCAAGTTTCTTTTTCTCCCCTTTCAACTGTGTCGAGTTTCCCTCAATACTTGTTATAAGTTCTGTTTGATCAATTAGTACTATTTTACGACAGCTGTACTTTCTGGAAATCGAACGGGAGCATCACTTAGAAACCTACCTCCATCGTTGTGGCCTCCTCCAGAAGGCGGATATCCGGCCATTCCCTTCATTGATTGGGGGTAGTTTTGGTATTTTACTATCTGCAAAGTTTTTCTCGTTACCTGAAATACATTATTTCACATTTTAATGATGCTGTCAATATATTTTCTTGAAAGCTTTCGTCTTGGTTTTGTAGAATATATATATATTTTATTTTATTTCATATTATTACGTAGAAAATGTCCTTATTGAAGTTAGATGAAACTAGAGCAACAAAATGAATGGCTGAGGTGAACATGGGGCTCTTTGAGGAAGCTACGTTCTAAATGCTGTGCTTTATTGTTTGCGATAATTTCGAGTTTACCTAAAATAGGCTTAACTTCAATACGACATGAAGCCGTTTTGTGATATTTGATTTGACTTGTAATTTGTAATTATATACCACCAGGCTCTGCCGAAACATATTGTTTGTTTTCACATGCTAAGTCGAATTTTAGACCTCTACTCTAAGGCCTCGTTTGGTTGGGGAGATTAGCCGTTATTAACTAAATAATTGGATTTTGTTTGATGTTTGGTATCCCAATAACTTACCGGGTCGACCCGCAAATATTATCTTATCATGCTTATCTTGCCTTTTAGGGAGCTTTTTTGTTGGACGTCTCGGGGTTTGATAAAATAATTAGGTTTTTATTAAATTATTTAATCTTATCTTAGCTAATCTTAGCTTGTCAACCAAACGAGGTCTAAGGCCTCAAAATGGCATTCCATGAAAGTAAGTAACCTATCATATGAATAGAGGTCTCAAAATGGCATTCCATGAAAGTAAGTAACCTATCATATGAATAGAGGTCGCTTCCTATATGCAACAAATATCTTATGGGGTAGAAGAATTCTTTTTGCAAATGTAGTACGGGGAAATTTGTTAAGTTGCAGCCACAAGTGTGCGAGAAGACAATTTTCGACAACTATGTTCCCTATATTCGAATATTTAGTGAGAATCTTTGGGCTATATTCTTTTAATGAGGGGAGAATGTAACACCCCTTAAATTTGTAAGTTGCTAAATTCTTAAGGGTGGCTATTTCTATTATAAAAATTCGATTTACGAAAGAACAAAGAGTGAACAAGATCGTTGAAAGAGTTACACAAAAGTTGCGCTACAAATATACAGTGTATTTCGATAGTGGGCGTCACACTTTCCCCCTAGCATTGTTCGTGTCGTTGACGATTAGAATAACTTTGGCGTCATTACTTTAACTTATGGTGCTAGCACATTTTGCATGCATGCATTGACTTGGACGACACAAAATATAATTTCATCACACCTTATATATGAAACTATAACATTTTATGTTATTATAACTTAATTGTCCCTTCGCTTTCGAAATACTTATAATACACATTTAATTATTGTATTTTATGGTTGGTTATTTCTATGCTACATCTGTAGAAGGTTAAACAGAGTGGATTTTTACAGTTGATCTACAGACACTCTGGAACCGGAAATTGAAAATTTTGTTCCAACTTTCACCCATATCTACATCTACCACTATTTATACTTGTTTTAATTTGTTATTATTCTATATTTGTTTCTTTAATTTACTATTATGTTTTATACTTTACTTAATATTCAATTGCTATGAAATTATGGAGTAACAATGTTTTACTCAAACTAGTAAAAAATGTAGTAGTTATATTGTTCGAATGCATGTTACATTGTCTATCATATTTTTATGTTTTGTGTATGATCTACCGTGAACCCGAGAAACACGTAAAAATTCATATAAAACTTATAGTTTAGAATTTGTATATGATATGTTATTTATCGAATAATTTGGTTGAAGCTCAGAAGAAACGTAAAAATAAAATTGAGGTACGACGAGCGAATTAATAAAATTTTCAAATTATAACATAAAGAAAACATTAATTTGTATTTTTGGAAAATACAAAAATGAATCTATCAAATAACTAGAAATAATAATAATCAACTAATCTGCATGCATGATAAACCCAAAAACCTAAACAGACTCTACTCCGGAAGGGCTTTGATGATCTTGTTCTTCTTCTTCATCGTCTCGGGACATTTCTTCAAGCGATCTTCCTTTCGCCTCCGGCACGAAAAACGTGCACCACAATCCAAGTACGTTAATTCCCGACAGAATAAACAAAGAGTTTTTTATTCCTATTCCAGCAGGGTACCCTGCATCTGTCTTACTTTTGTCTTGATTCTGCGCCGCGTACAAGAATCCGAGAGCTCCCACAGTCTCCCCTGCCTTCCCCGCCGCAGCCGATATCCCGTGGCAAGTCGATCGGAGCCTCGCTGGAAATATCTCCGCCGGCACAATAAAGGTGGTGCTGTTTGGCCCGAAGTTGGCAAAGAAGAAAGTCAAACCGTACATTATCAGAAACTCGGTTTTGTTCAGCGTCCAGTGGTGGTAAGGAATCGCCAGTGCTAGCATGAACACCGTTATGAAGAAGAAAGCCATGATCTGGATAGTGAATCTTCCTATTCTGTCGATGACAAGTACGGTGGCCCAATATCCTGGAACTGTGCCGCATAATGCCATCAAGAATTGGGCGAACGAGATCTTGAATAATTCGTCGAGTGCGCTCATGGTTTCCGCCGGGGGCAGCCACCCCACTGCGCTGAATATCTCCTTCTGGAAAAGGTTCTGGCTGTAGTAAGCCACGTCGACGAAGAACCACGTACTTGCCGTTCCAATCAAGTGGAGCCCGTGCCTGCGTAGAAATTCCTTCAAAAATAGCACGAATTTCGATTTACTAGTCGTCGTGGTTTCTTACATGGTGATTTCCGGCCTTCTCCATGTCTTTTCTAGCCTTCTCGGCGTTGTTGGCCACCAGGGCGGTCTACCTGGCGGTTTCTGGCAACTTCGTCCTCCAGTAGTACGAAAGCACCACCAGGAGAGCGCCGAGCATGAGGATGATCCGCCACACGTAGTCCGCCTCCGGTGGGGTGGACCCCACCGGATTGACCGAGTAAGGCGGCGCATGATGGAGCGAACGAAAAACAGCGGAAACCGCCATGCCGACGAGGCCGCCCCCGAGGATTCCGTAGCCCTGCATGGCGAAAACGGCGGCGATGAACGATCCGCGTGTCTTCTTGTTGGCGTACTCCGCCATGATGGTGGCGGAAAGAGGGTAATCTCCGCCAATACGAAACCCTAGCCAGAATCTGAAGAACACGAGCGTGGTCATAACAGATTTGGGGGAGCTGCCGAAGGATAGGCCGGATGCGATGGAAGAAAGAGAGAGCCATGAGGAAGAGGGTGATGCCGTAGACTTTCTTGCGTCCCATTCTGTCGCCGAGGAGGCCGAAGAAGAGCTGACCGAGGAGGGTGCCGCACAGGGCCACCCCGTTGATGGCCGCGGCGGTGGCCGGAGGGAGGACACCTGGTTTCGTGGAGCCCGGAATGTGGTATAGATACGGCCGAGGAGTTTGGTGATGAGGGAATACAAAAAAGATCATAGGCGTCGGTGAAGAAGCCCATGCCCGAGATTATGACGGCTTTGTAGTGGTACCATTGCATTTTCGACGAATCCAGAGTCGCCAAAACGCCGTCGCGGCTCGCCATTAATTATTATTATTTGAAGATACAAGCTAGTATGTAGAGGTTTGAGGTCGTAGCCAGAATCTGAAGAAACTAATTATACAGGGTGAGCAGCTAGTGCAATTAGTTGAGTTTGTGTTTCACTAGATTTATGATTTTTTAAAGCCACGTTCAATTTGAGAAATGCTGCGGTTATATGCAATACTAATTCTAGTTGTGCAAGATTAAATTAAAGAAAGATTCCAAAAGATTTCATTTTATTAAGATGAAATGACAAATATATCCATAAATTAAATTGGGTTTTAATAGTATACCATAGTACACCATAGTATTTTAAAATCTGCTGTTTTATTTAACCAAAACGAAAAAAAAAAAAATCGTAATTTTCATTAAAATGTTAAAAATAAAGAAAAAAATTAAGTTGTTTATAATAATGTAAAAAATGCTAGAGTGAAAAACGAAAAAATAAAGACGACGAAGTCTATAAAAATAAAATAAAATATGTTAGATGAAAAAATAAGATATTAAATGCATAATAAAAAATGATAAATGCAGTTTGAATTTTACTAAATGCAAATTTCGAATTTGTGAATGGAAGGACATTTTTGGAAACAATTTAATAAAGGATGTGAGGCAAATGTTTAGTTTGACTTGTCATTTAGTTCTAATTAGTTTTGTCACCAAGGACCTATATCTTAAGCCCATTAATTCTATAAAGATAAAAAATAAAAATAATTGATTAACATATATATATTAATAAAATATAAATTTTATTATATTTCATCTGATAAATTTATTTAATTTCATTTCATTTTATTATATAAATAATCAATTTATAAATTAATCCAGTATAATTATTTGAACGTATAATAGAAATACGCAATTTCAAATTATTATTAACAAAAAATATTGTATATTTATTAAATAGTACAATGTAAAACTAAAACATTTTTGTTAATAATTTTTTTTATTGAATGGATATTTGAATATTCCAAAATATTGAAAATTAAAAAACAAAAAAAAACTGTATTCCTTTATTTTAATATTTGAATATTAAAAAAATGTTTTTTTCTGAAAATTATTTGAATATTCGTAAAAAAATTGAGTATCCTGAATTTTTTCAATAAATATATTTTGAAATATTGAAAATATGAACTCGATATTTTTTTTCTCGAATTTATAGAATATTAAATTTAGAAATAATATATATACATGTGGTAAATGTTTAAATGAATATACAAATGTTAAATAGGAAAGAACTTAAATACATACCAAATTAAAAATAACAACTAACCAATTGAGTAATCCACCTCATCAATCTAAGCAATTTTGATGAATGACATAGACATTTGTCTCATGTCATTCATATAGCGCATAGATCCTCTTTTTATATTATATACTCCCTCTATCCCAATTTAAATGTCGTTTTGGGACAATTCGGTCAAATGATATTTACCAGTATTCTAAATAGCGGTCGTAGCGGTCGATATATCGGCCGCCATATCGGTATCGGTTATAAACCTTTACGATTTTGTTGAGGCGGTTTGGAATATCGGTTTTTTTACGGCGAGGCGGTTTGCGGCGGTTTTTGGCGGGTCAAACCGATATATCGGTCAATAAATCGGTTTTTTTTTTTTTTTTTTTTTTATATATAATTTAAACTAAAATGAAAATAGGTTTTGTTTTTTGTTTTTTTTCAATTCTTTCAACTTCCAAAACCAAACCAAGTACTACCCCTCAACTTGTAACTAGCAAAAAAGAAGAACTTGGCGATAACCCAAAACATGAGTTTATGGTTTGTTATTAGAATTATATAATAACATATGGATGATAGGATATAATTATGTTTAAATATTCTTTTATATATATTTTGAGTATTACAAATAATATTTAGAAATATATTACACTAAATTTAAAAACCGCTTTATTTCCGATTTATCTCCGATAAATCACCGCCACGCCGATTACCCGATAACCGCCTTTTAGCTTTTAGAACCTTGATATTTATTAATTTGAAGATGAAACGAAAAGTTGAGGATGAAAATGAATTTTACCCAATTTTCATTGTAAAACCCGCCGCACCCCTTCGCCGAACTCCTCAGTGCCGGCAGAGATTTCATCGCCGGCGATCGAGATCTAACCAATTCGATTTTATTTGACTGTGATATCTTCCAACTCAGCTGCAATGGCGTATTTATATATGGAGCAAATGCTGAGAATAAATCATCTTATATTCGGAAACTGTCAGGATGAAGGTGGATCTAGTCTAACGATTGCTGGTACTTTCTCTCTCTAGTTTAATTTTCGCTTTTTTCTTCGTTTCGTCAGAATTTATTGTAAATTTTCTTACCCCCGATGAAGATGCTGTAAAATAATTGGAATATAAATAAAATCACCAATTTTAATGTTTTTATTTGGAGATATAAATAATTTGTTGAATTTTGTGTGAGATCTTAATTTAATTATACAAATTAGAAGGGAATCACACTAAGCAAATGAAGCTTTTTACGAGTTTCGAATTAAATCATAGGCTCCTATGGTTTCAGCAGTTGTTTTCAGAATCTGAAGCTGCTGGTATATGTAAGTTTGACTTACAGCTTTAGTTGTGTAATTACACAAAGTAACGCTCATCGTTCCTCGTTGATTTTACAAGTCGACCCTTTAGGAATTATGAAGATTTAACGGGATTAAGAACGTAATATATAAAGGTTGAACTGTATACTTTTACAAATTGTTTGGCAAAAAGATTCAAAAAAATTTAGTGCATTGTCGCTTTCTATTCATTTTAGCGGTCAAGGTGAATGTTATACTGGGAAATGTGCAAACACTATTTATATCCCGAGAGAGTCGGAATAGATCACAGTTATCTGGTGAAACGAGGCCTAGAGTCATTTTATATATGCCTATGGAAGTGTACATGATTTTAGTTTAGGCCCTACACAATTCTGAAAACGTGGAAGATGAAGTCGAGAAAAGACAGGCATCACTAAATAGCCTCGGCAGTTGTGTTTTAGTTTCTGAAATGGTGGCTTGTCTCTAGCAGTCACTTTTTCCTTCTTTGTTGCTAAGTAAAAGCAATGAATTCATCGAGTTGTAACGGATGCAATGCAATTAATTCTTACCGCATGGGAGCTTTAAACAATAGTTTGTACGAGCAAAATCCAAGAAGTCAGTAATATCAGTTCTTTATGCGGAAAAAAAGAAGGCCTTTATTTCAGCACTTTCCCCTTGAATGCGACCGAAAGTCGCCCAAAAAAAATCGAAAGGTGGCACTAACGGTTACCAATTAGGTACGAAAAAAGAGACATGTTGAAGTCATTGCATGGTGTGAAAAGGGTTTCCTACTTTGTCCCTATTGGGATAAAAAAGCAACTCCGTGAATTCCGTTTTTAAGCGGTTGATATGTCGTCTACTCCCTGATCAAATTCTATCTGCAATTTTCTATAAATTCAGTACATGAGAAGAAGCAAACTTCATTTCAATTATAACTCTTTTATTTGCTTCGCACAAATTATTCTTGCCGAAAAAAAAAATTGTTTTATTCGTAATGGTACCTGACCTTTTCATCCCATGTACAAGAAATGCAGTTGAGGTAGTAGGTGCTGCTGTTGACCTAGAGAATGCGGTTAGCTGTGCTTATGTTACGTTCTTGGCAGGTGATGGCGACTATGTGAAAGGTGTGGTTTGTTTGGCCAAGGGTTTAAGGAAGGTCAAGTCAGCTTATCCGTTAGTGGTCGCTGTTTTGCCCGACGTGCCACAAGACCACCGTAACTTGCTTGTTAACCAAGGTTGTCTCATTCGTGAGATTGAGCCACTTTCCCCACCTGTTTGCGACAAGGAAAGCCCGTTTATTAGGCCGTATTTTGCAATCAATTACTGTAAACTTCGTCTTTGGGAGGTAAGCGTTTTTTTTTTTATAATAATTATTATTATTATTATTAATGGTTTTTTGTTTTTCTCAAAATTAATGTAAGAAATTTGTTTTTTGATATTTCGGTTGCAGTTTGTGGAGTACGAGAAGATGATATACATGGATGCGGATATTCAGGTGTTTGAGAATATAGACAACCTGTTTGATTTGCCGAGTGGATGGTTATATGCTGTGATGGACTGCTTGTGTGAGATGCGGGGCCCGCCTTGTGCACAAAAGGTGAAGTGGCCTGAAGCTTTGGGCGATGAGCCACCGTTTTATTTCAACGGGGGCATGTTTGTGCTCGAGCCTAGTCTCCATACGTACAACAATCTATTGACCTCACTTGAAGTCACACCTCCGACCCCGTTTGCTGAGCAGGTAAAAAATTTTTTGCAGATTCTCGACGGAAAATTCATACTTCTTATTTCATAATAAATACTTCATCTGTTCCATAATATCTTTCGTTTAAGGTTTCTACACAGTACACACATATTAAGAAAGTTATTATATGTGGTTGAATTTCAGGAAATACATGTAAAAAAGACTAAGATAATATTTTATCATTTAATGATGTAATAAGAGCGAGGTAATGCTTAATAGAGTCAGATTAATAAGGGTATAACAGGAAAAAACAAATACAAATTATAAAATTATATGGAACGATGTCGTGGGCACTGGCGGATGTACCTTTAAGTTTTCTATATATATATATATATATATATATATATATATATATATATATATATATATAGATATATATATATATATATATATATATATATATATATATATATATATATATATATATATATATATATATATATATATATATATATATATGTATATAGAAATATATATATATATAT